GAAGGTCCTGGGTTCAGCACACATAATAAAGGAGTAGACATTTTGATACTTCATACAGGAAATATTTGGATGTAAGTACATGAATACACTAATAATATTTAACTAACTTATTAATTAGCTATATATATATATATATATTAATTAGCTATGTAGTTGTTTTCAAAATGTGCACTTATTCCTTTTGTAATATTTTTTTAAATGCATGGGTGCATCTACTAATAATTTGTCATCTAACAATCTCTGAAGGATTTCAAACAATAACTGGGGAAAAACTTCAAGATTTTTCAAAGAATCTCATGACAATGATGGGCAATATATTTATTCATGTAACGCCTTACCACTAGTCCTCTCACTAGTAGGAGGATAAATCAAGGACAACAATTTAATTCAAAGAGGTCCAAATTAAAACATTTTACTCAAAAAGGAAGCTGAATGAATGTATCATAAGGCATAATTTGTTTTTAGGTCTTCATCCTCATTTGTATCTGCCTCTTTTTTTTATTATTACATTCATTTTTATGGGTCCATTTGCAAAACAAATAATATTTCTAAAATTACATGATTTATACTATACATTGTTCAGCTTGAACATACCTGAATCAGATTTGTTTCTAACATCTAAAAAACTTGTATTATTATCATCACCCTTCTTAGCAAAAAGTCTTCCAGGCTGTATCTGCCTCTTGATGATGATGATGATCACAATCATGATGACTGTAAGTAGCGGTGAGCATTTGTTGAACAAATACTACATCATTATAAAGCCTGAAATATACTGTATACATCCTATGGTCCAGGCATTATTAGGTATATTATGTCTACTATATCATTTAATCTTCACAACTCTGGGGAGATGCACATATAGTGTTCATATTTGAAAGACAAAGAAGGCTGGGAAGATAGCTCAGTGGCATAACCACATGCCTGGCAAGCTCAAGGTCCTGAGTTCAATCCATAGTACAAAAAGAAAAAAAAAAGACAAAGAAGCAAAGTTTGAAAAGGTTAGGTAAACTACCAAAAATGACATGCACTAAGAATTGAATGCAGGTAAGCTTAAACCTAAGTTCATGTTTAAAACTACCACGTTATCTTGCTTTTTGCATTACAATAACTAAGATGTTCTAAAGGATTGATCCCAACAAACTATCATTATAGTAAGATCTTTTTCCACATATTTATTATGACAATGTACAACTTATAGAAAAACTGAAAGAGTTCACTGAACATCCAGACACAACTACTTAAATTTAATAATTGTTTGTTAACCCTTTGCATCTCCCCCATTTGTTCAGATAGCATCTCACTGTGTAGCTGAGGCTGGCACCAAACTCAAAATTTTCCTATTTCAATCTGCATATATATTATATATA